GATGAAGCAACTGCAAATGTGAAAACTCATGTGACGCACGATTCAAAAATACAAACAATTTTCGCCCAAGTCACCTCAATTTAATAATAAAACAACACCAACTAATTTCACCTTCGAACACCCGCCGTATATTTTTAACTAGCAGACACGCCAGTGTTTCCTGGGTATTTATTTATCACAACTGACTATTAGTTAGGGCAAGGGATGTTGTCAAGGATATCTGTAGTGTATCCTCGCCCTGGCCGGCCGTGCTCCTTCTTACCGTCCTCGCCTGGTGCCGCCCCACTCGTCAAGGCGCCCCCTATTGGCGTTGCGGAGGACCGAGCTATTTCTCAGCTATTTTGTTCGTGTAACTAAATTACGTGGATGTACCAAGTCGACTAGAGATATCTTTCCATGCCGGATTACCGATATATGTTTTATGTAGAGCACTGTCTTGTTTTAACCCATTCCATTTTTCATGACTTCATTTTAATTTTCTTCCTATTTGTCTGGAAAGTAAAATGGCATGCTCTTTTCTATATTCCATTCAGATTATCCTGTTGTAAATTTCTTTAAGTGTCCCATCAAATACATCCGTGATCTATTAAGTCAGCCATTTAATACTTCTGTCATAATTAAACATTACTCGTACATCCTCTTCACGAATAATTAAATGAAATATATTCTGGTGACGAAAGAGGGAGTCATGACAAGAGATCACTCAAAAAATCTTTCATTAGTGTTTGATTCAGCTCACACGGTCGTCGTAGTAAGCACAATTCTGACTACGTAGAATGCTTCCAAGATTCTGACCAATGAGAAGGCTTAATTTGGGGCTACAGAATACACATGGTTATGATTCAGAAATATGCAACGCGCACTGGTCGGTACCGTTTCAGTTGTGAAATCATGTGAAGCGTGTAGAGCGATCATGAAAGCGTCCAATTAAATGATGTTGTTCCGAAACTGATTGTATGTGTTTTTCTTAAATTATAATGCAGATTATTTTTGTAAGTTTCTAAATAAAATAATGCAAATGTGTCCCGTAGTTCAATTTAATTTTGGTACCGCCATATTTATGTTTTATATTTTTCAAAATATTCAATTTAGCGTAATATATCCTAAAGAACTGAAATAATGTTTCATCTGCCAGATCCGGATATAAAATGTGAAATTCTCCTTTTGTTATAATCGTTCTGTTTACAAGAGAAGAGAATTCGGACTTTGTTCGACACTTTGTCTAATTTACTTTTATTTAAATCGAACTCGCATCGAACTAGCATGTCGCCATCGCACTATAAGCCCACATTTTTAAATTTGTTCTCCGAAGTTTGAGAACTAATTTCAAATTCGAGATCTTGCGTGAGTTTTGGAAAAAGGGCTTCGTAGCGTAAATTCTATTTTAAAAAGGCGTCAAATGCCGTTTACAGATCGAATCGGTAAAGTAAATTCTACTTATTTTGGTGCTGCCACGTGGTGGCCACAAATTGTACTAGTGTCGGGGCATTTAGCCTTAAGCTTAACCACTTATGCGATCTTGAGAAGAGCCGATGGCCGTCATGGCTATGAGCTCAGAAAAAGGTACGTGTCTTCTTGTTTGGCGGCGAAAGAAAATTGTATTGACAAGATCAGCGATTTCATTGTAAATTATTTGAAAGTGAAATAAGCTTTACATGTAAAATAAACATTGAGGTATATTTAATAATAAACTTCGCTTGTTTTAGTTTCATATTCAATATGGTCCAGAAATGTGCCCATGTTTTACCCGTGCTATTTTAAATAAGTATTAATAAATTATAAATTCCATATTCGCAGAACTAATGTTTTTATTATTATTATTATTATTATTATTATTATTATTATTATTATTATTATTATTGTTGTTGTTGTTGTTGTTGTTATTATTATTATTATTATTATTGTTATTATTATTATTATTATTATTATTATTATTATTATTGAAATTTTACTTTAAAATAAAATAATTTTGAAAGAGCTGGCTCAGTAGCCAGTGCATAATAATCACTGGTTAAATTGTCACGGAAAGATAGCCACTTGTTGATATTACATAAAAGCTTTGCTCTTCATCTCATATCCATCTTGAGAAAAAAGGTTTTGGAAGTTCCTCGCAAACAAAAATAAGAATGGTAGTTTAGTAATCGTAAATAAGAAAAGTAAATTATTTATTATGAAAAATAATTGGTGTTTGAACAAGTGAATTTCACAAAAAATGTTCAAAATGTTCTCTATTTGCTAACAAATAAGCATTAACTCGGTAGAGAACATTTACTTCACCCGAAGGTAAAGTTTCTTTGTCAATCATGCGAATCACTTCCTCGGTGATTCTTTGTAGCTCTGGCAGCAAGGTTGCATTTTAAACTGATCACCCGATAGGTGTTTTTGATCTTCGTCTGAAAGCTTGCGAATCTGCTGTAAATGATATTAGACCAAATGTGTGACGATAAACAATTTTGAACAACATATTTTCCTGTGTATTAAAGAATCGTACATACAGTATTTAAGGATTATAAAATCTCTCTCTCTCTCTCTCTCTCTCTCTCTCTATATATATATATATATATATATATATATATATATATATATATATATGTGGGATTGTGCAACCCTATAACACCACCGATTCACATGTGTGAACACTACGGAGGCAGCGTGGATAGCAGGCGCAGAAAATAGGTTCATAAACGCGCGGCCTGGTATCCGTTGCCCGTACTAAACGAAAGCAAACCAGCAAGCAATGTTTTCCTTATGAAGGGTTGAGAGAGGGGAAGCAGCCCCACCACTGAGAATTTCCCTAGGCGCCGTGCGATAAATACGCGAACCCGCAAGCGGAAGCTCTCTTTTTTCTTGCCACCACGCGTCGAGTAAGCAGCTCTTTTACCACCAATAGCAGAGTCAACACTTTCGTTAAACATTAGTTTAGATATTGTTTGCCGCTGCAACGATTACTAGGTAGGAGTATTCGGCGTCGAACAGACGTTCTAGTCAGTCGTCCGCGAGATAGTGCAGATTAAGTAGTGTTTCTTCAATTAACAACACGGGAAGTAAAAGTTACCCGTTGTGAAGAAAACATTAAAAGTTCTGGCTTAGCAAAGTAAAAGTAGCAACGAGCGAGGAACTTGCACGAGTATTAGGTAAAATGCAACGGACATTTTCGCAACGTGGGCGTAGTCAGAGGCGCCGGTAGCAGACGAGGTGGAAGATAACGGACGGACCCAGGCGCACGAGGAAGAAGACGGAACGGCTGGGAGGAAGAACGGAAGAGGACGCAAGAAGGCAACGCAGACGACAGGCGAATCCCGTTTCTTACGACGCTGGAGCTGGGACCGAGCGGTGTCGAGGCGCAGCGACCAGCGCACGACCATCAAGGCCCAAAGTGGGAAGTCCACGAGGTAACAGAGCGCGGAAAATAGGTCAAGTTCACGTCGGCAGGGAAAAACGAGTATAGGAAAGTGTTAAGGATTTGAGAACACGGGTGGCAACAAATTGCAGTATTATAGTAGGAGATATTTTGATGCGCTATTGCCTGCCTAAAAACATTGTACTTAGGACATTTATTATTCTGCTATTTTCAGAGACAGTTAAATTGTAAATGAGAGTAGTGCACTTGCACACATTGTGTTCTTTACATGTAATATTTTGAAGCAGGAGATTGTAAATTGAATTTTTGGTTTCATGTGGCAATGGTAATTTAGAATAGAGAAATTTTAGGATTTATAATTAATTTTCCAATGGAATTCCAGTTGGGTAGTTTAGGTAATTATTGGGAGATCAATTTCGAAAGTAAATTATTGTTCATTCATATGAGTGTGTGTTTGTAGAGGTTTCTATTTGTGTTTTTGATTATTCTTTGTAAAAAGTGTGATTCTATATTCTTGGTTTTTGTCATCAACTAATGGCACTAAAAGTTTTATGGGCGTAAACTTATACGCTTGGTTTTGTGTGCAATCTGTTGTGATTTTATTGTGTCAAGGGTTCAAACCTTTCTCGCACCCTGAAGATCCTGCTCCCTAAGATTTTTAAGCTCGCCTTCACGAGCAAAAATCTTGATACCCGTTACGGTTTCCATGCGTGCTAACTGTGAAGGTGGTAAGTTGTGTGGCGTGTAGGTGGGTGGGCTTAGAATATTATATATATTATATATATATATATTAATATATATAATATATATATATATATATATATTAACACACACCAGGTGGCTTGCCCCCATCACCTGATTTACTGGTTAGGCCAATCCAACGTTGCTTTGGCTGTTCTTGCGTCATAGGGCTTATTCTCGTTCTAAAACTGGCTTGAAACACGTGGTATTTTCAAAGATGGATTTAATATTTCCTTTTCATTGAGGTGAAGCCGCCCGTTATAACTATTCCTTAAAACTACGTAAAACTAACATTCTTACATTCGGCGCTAAGCAGGCCAGAGTTAATTGTCGGAAGGCAGGCCGGCGTCTTCGGCGGTCACGAATCCGGTACGGTAGCGGCGGCTTTCGCCCTGGTGCATAGATGCGGTCAGGCGACGGCTGCGACGGCGTCCACAGGCGCGCCAGCAACTCTGGTCCGGGGATGGCTCTCTGCAGGTTCGCGGCAGCGGCGTGGTGTCCGCGCTTTGGCGTCGTCGTAGTCCTGGGTCGCGGTCCGGGCTCCCACAGCGCATGGCCCGTGGCGTTCGTCCTTCGAGTTGGCGACCCAGAAGGCGGCCTGCGATGGGGCCGATGATGGCAGTTTGGCGGGAGGCGCGGTGGCGAGGTAGTATGCATTCACCGGCGTCTCCCCGTAAGCAAAGGAAATTGCCCTCGTCCTACTTGGGAAGTGGACTTTTACTCGCTGTCGGGCCGCCTCTTCATGCGAAATGAGCGAGCTTTTGTCCTGGCTGCTACCTCTCAACTTCGGCGAGTCACGAGGCCGGTCGCCCGCTTCGTTTTCGTGACTTGGCGGTCACGCGGTTTCTTCCGGCCCAATCGCGGAGTCATTGATGGCCTTTGTGCGTCTGCCAAACGGATGCCCGTCGAGGCGTCAGGCAATCGAGCTGGCATATTCCACGTCCCCGCGCTCCCTACACTCTCGCAGGGTAGCAAAAAAGCAGCATTTCCAGGCCTCTTTACAGTAATGTTATATTGCAATACCATATGTGTTTGAAATACTGCGTCGCATATTGCCAATAAGAGAGGTAAGCGTGTGCTATTTTTCCACGTTTTCAGAAATGATTTTTTTTGTCAGTTGTAAGGGAGGCTCATGACAGAATCGCACTTGTAAACCTTAAGCTTTTTCGAGTGGGGATGAATTGCTGTAATGAAGCTAATTTGATTTGACAATATTGATTGATCGAAAACGATGTATATTGATAAATTGAGAAGTCGTAGGTTTCGGCGGACCAGAAAATGTGGCGTGATCTTGGGGTTGTCCCGGGTGACGCCGGCGTCGAAGGTGAGTGCCGAGTTTCGACGCATCCTGTCGTGGTCTTTCCTCAGGTGGTATGCGCCACGTGATGGTCAGCTATAAAACACGGAGCGCTGACCATCACGGCGCATACCAAGCCCTGAGGAGACCACGAAAGGATGGTCGAAACGTCGGCAACTCAGCCTTCGACGCGGCGTCACCCGGACAGCCCAGATCACCCGATGTATATTTGATGTTAGCAAATACACACACAAGAGAAACAAGTGGTGTAAAAAATTGCAGTCGAGAAATACATTGAAAAATTGAAATTTGTAAAAAAAATTGAAAAACTCTGTTTTTTTTTGTGGTGTGCAAAAGGAGCAACTGGATGAAGTTCAGAACAAATTGCATCATGTTTGCACAGAAAAATGTGAATTTCAAAACGTTTTACAACCACAGCGCCATACTGCAACAGTCAGTGAATGGTCCAACATGGCAGGGGGACAAGAGCCCTTGAACTTGTAAGGGTCATTTTCACGATGACATGTAGTGTCAGCATTGGAAAATCGGCGATGTCGCATGGTCAGGACATTCGTTTACTGATTGATACTGGTGCGACTTTTGGAGACGGCAGAGGCATCTGACGGTAGAATTTGTGAACATATCGGTCTGCTGGCTTGCGCAATCGTGGTGGAAATACATGGTGACAAAATACTCATGTGCGCGATAGAACATCCGTCATACAGAGAGCTGCTTTCCTTCAAATAGAAGCAGCCCTTCGAGAGCTGCTTCCAAAGTAGGGCCACCGTTGCGGCTGGGCGAAAGGAAAATGGGAATGGGCAGCAATTGACTTCATGTGACCGTCCTATCCTGTATCGACGTCTTTGCACGTGTAAAAGTTGCAGCTAATGTAATGTAACCTTCCTTAGACGAAACGTATTTCACAACTTTAATAGTAAGTACTTATACTTCGGTTTTTATAACGTGGGGCGTCAAGTCCTGTCTTCACGATTCTATCTCACGGCTTTTCTTGTCTTTCTCGGTTGTGCCGCTAGATGCTGCTGACACATCGCACTGCTTGTTACGGTTGCGATCATACGACACGATTGCGACACGATCGACAAATACGCGAAATGCCGTGAGATATACCAACGTGAAGAAAGCCCTAACGCACCACTTTATAAAAACGGACGTATATTCCTAGTGATGGATTGAGCTTAGTTTGCAGGGTTGCAAAACCTCTAGATAATCCAAAAATATTTCATAATATGTTGGTCATTATATACATTAATGTCTTACCAAGGATAAAAAAAAGTAAAGCACATGTTTTCGGATAATATTTATATTGTATAGCAATGAATGTGTAAGACAGAGTTTACGAGGGTAGCCTTTTATATTTCAGGATTAGAGAACAAAAAAATATTAATCATCGAAAATCACTTTATTGTTTTTCAAAATATTCCCCATGAAGATCTATACACTTTTGCATGCGTTTGAACCAATTGTCGAAGCACTTTTGCCACTCTGATTGAGGTATCTCCAAAACATGTGTTCTGAATGCAGCAACAGCTTCTTCAGGTGTCGAAAAACGTTGACCTCTCAGTTTGTTTTTTTACGTACGGGAATAAAAAAAAAGTCATTCGGTGCCAAATCAGGACTATACGGCGGATGACTCATCAAATCGATGTTTTGGGTGCTCAAAAATGCAGTTGTTTGTATTGCGTTGCAAATAATTCTAACAATAAGTCAGTGTTGTCGGGTGCGTTACTAGCTCTTTCCTCACCACTACTACGGAATTTCTCCAAATAACTTATCCAATGAAACAAAAGAATATTTTTCGTTTCAAAGTTAAGCGAATTTCTTTTAACTTTGAAAGGAAAAACATTCTCTAAATTATGGACCAACGACATGGACTGCCGTGACGATTCCAATGGCTGTCCCCTTAAATTCAAACCAACCAATTTCCTTTAAGCTTTCCTTTTTCCTAGTAGTCTGTATATTTATTTTTTCTCGTTTTGTACTTATTTACTCCTTTCGTTTATTTATTCCCTTTTTGAAACATAAAATGACTGACCCTATTGTTTCTTTTTTAATAATAATAATAATAATAATAATAATAATAATAATAATAATAATAATAATAATAATAATAGAATAATATTTCTATCTCGACTCCTGATGAAAATAATTTTCCCAAACGTTTCCCCGCCCATTTATGATTCCAATAATTTCCCCACTAAGAAAAAACAAATCCCCATTTTTAATACAAAATTCCCCTAGCAATCCTGTAATAAGTACGTAAAATTTTGTAACGAACGGCTTCTATAGTTGAACCGTCGTAGCGTAGATAGCGCAGTCGGCCGTCACATGTGCAATGCAGGTGCCGTGGGAGGAGTTAAGTGATTATTTGAAATAACGTAATTGTTTGATTTAGTTTCTTTTAAGAGGACATCAAAGGTGAGCATGATATTAGACGAATGGGATATAATATTAAGCTAACCTAAGCTGAAGATAAGCACACGCACAAAGTCGCACATTGTCAAGCGTTCGTGATCGTGAAGGCGGGAATAATAACTGCCTGCTGACGTGACGAGCAATTTTGGCTCTGTGTTTAAGAGTTGTGAATATCTAGTGAGGTAGGAGCACTATTCTTTCTCACCCATATAATATTTCATATTATATCTGTTCTGTAATGCGTCTTCTTTCCAGAATGGCAAATTGTTTAGTTTGCCGCGTATCGGCCCGTTCGTTCCAGAGCCGTGATAATGGGATAACCTTCCATAGGTTCCCTGCCACAAGAAGCGTGATTTGTGCGAGATGGAAGAAGTTTGCTGGCCTTGCAGAGGATTACAATGTGAAGTCTAAGCGTTTATGCAGTCGTCATTTTAGGGCGGATGATTTCGTTAATAAGAGCCCCTTTAGGAAGAATCTGCGCTGTGGTGCAGTACCAACTTTATGTTAGTATTCACGAAATACTGGTAGTCCTGTTTTGATTTATTTCATAATTTTAAGGAAACAAATTTTTGCAATCGTGAATTTGCCCAGGAAGGATAGAAATCTACATTGTATTTACCATACTTTGTGACTTCTGAGGTTTTGTATTGAAATAAGAATTTCATATTACAATGCATGATGCTTTTGTTAGATTGCATTGACAGTTTTTTTAATTTTAATTTACAACAGTCATATGTTCAGAATTATTTCATTTCAATGATGGGATATAGGTTGGCAGCAGGAGACTTTGGGGCAAATGTTTTAGAAAATTGTGTGCCTGTGATGTTTGAAATTGACCAATAGTTGTAATAATTGTGTTTTTAAGTTTGTAAATTAATTATTTTGAACTATGTAATTTTACATTAATTTTTTGTGTATAATTAGTAAGAACATTTCTGTTGTAAACTGAAACATTGATATTGAAATTAAATTTAATGGGGAAGAAACCTATTGATTGCAGAATGAATCAACGTTAGAAGATTTTTCTTCAGAAACTAGTTTTACATGTAATTTAAATGGCCGTGATTTGGATATGTATTTGTTGGGTGATTTTACATTTTCTCATAATCATGTATACAATTTCTTTGATCTAGGATTTTTTTTTAAATCTATAGCACTCATATATCATTGTAATGAAGGCAACCGTTCCCTTTTGCTTTCTTTGCTTTTCTTTTTTCCTTTTTCTAAGAGATATTTCAGGTTATGTTAGTATATCTTTATATCCTAAATTTCTTTATATTCTGTATGAAGTAGTGCATTAATTAAAATGTTTTATGCATAATTCAGGTTTTGAAAATTGCATTTTCTTTGACGTTAAGAAATAGTCACAATGCTTACACAAAACACTTGTTCTGTCTTTTATTCAAATGACAAAATATTTACCAAAGATTTGATGTTCAGTGGTAGATGTTATGTAGCAATATATTTAACTTTTAGTAGGGAGTAATTTGTGTGTGTATTTTTTCCTTCTTTTTGTCCCCCCTACAAAAATACAACAAATTAAGAAGCTCACTTTCACCAAAAAGTTCCGGGTTCTACACATGGACAATCTCATGTGAAATTTGTTCTAACAAAACGAGTTCAGTGGCTTTACAAGGGCTAGTTCAACACCTAAATTCTTCTTAATTTTGGTTGCTGGGTAGTGAGTAGGAGGTGTGTACACAGAGAAGCTGCCTGACATTTTTTCTTGACAACTGATTGGTATGAGACGTGACAAAGGCAGATAATGTTAATGAAGGATTATTCCAAGTGTAAAGTGCTCAACACCCCCAGGGGTTCGGAAACTCATGTCACTCCAGACGCAACAAATAAAAAAAAGTGCATTCCATTTTTTAAGTATTTTCAATTATATTTCAAATTAGAAAAATAAGACATTCCATTAAGAAATTGTTTTCAAATCTCATGTTTCACCTTTTTCCACAAATATTTTTAAGAAATGAAGTGTAGTACTTCACTTGACCGATTCTATTTTTAGAACACATCCCTTTGTTCAGTCTTTTGTCTCATCGTGTTCTTTTCTACAAGTATAAAAATTAGGAATACATTTTTTTCCAGGTCATCCAACCAACACTCCTTCAGAAGGATCCGAACTAGCTTCTGCTCCAGGTAAATTTGCTTCTATTTCTATTCGTGAGATATGTTCTTAGTTGAATTTTTCTCCTCACTCTTTAACATGTACTGTGCTTGTTTTAGCTCCCCTTGAAGACGATTTGAATGGTTCTGAAGGTGAGAATTATTTGCTCCATCCACACGAGGATGATGGGAAGATGCTTCAGACTCCTGAAGTTTTTGTGTTCGCCAGCTGGAATATGGCAGTTTTTGGAGAAGTACTTTCTGTTCACTGTCTTAAGAATGGGACAAAGTTTTTCAGATAAAGGAAATAATTGTAAATTTTCGTTTACTGAAGTCACTAATGCAAAATCATAATTAAATAAAAATTGTACCGCTGCCAGGAAATTATTCATCAATCACTGTTTAGCTTTGAGGGTGTAGCTGGGCCCAGAGGGATATGGACCTTTTTAAACTGAAGAGCTGTTTTCTTTTTGGTGAAACACTGGTAGGCCCCATTGATTTATTAAAAATAAATTAACATACTTTCATCACACAAATATATTGTTGTATTATATAATCATAACTAGTGATTAAAAAACATTATATTGCCTACACGAGTGTGTTTAACATGTATTTACCCGAATATGACTACCCCTTAATTTTGAAGCGGCCTCCTGATAATTTTTTTAACTCACTAATTCATACTATTTAATCAAAAGAAAATTACAAAATGACGTATTGACTATGAAAATTGCTTTGTTTATACGATATTGCTGAATTATTATTTTCTTGTTCCTTAATATCATCATAATCATGGTTTTTGTCACTACCCTCATAATCTTCGCAAGTATCAATGTTTTTTTCTTTTTGGTCCACCTATGTTGTGACATTTTCTGACTTCTTAGGCCCCTCTTGAAAGTTTTAGGCACTAAATTTGTGTTGTTGATAGTATTTCATTGGACGCCATCCAAGAACATTCCCTCTGTCGCCAGATTTTCTATCCGTTGTGCACATATTGATGGTCTCTGTTTCTGTTCAAAACGCAGATTCACATTTGCTGGGCATTGAACCGAGATTCCACATGGCCTTGTTGAATACGCATTGTGTAACAAACTCTTGGCATTCATTTTCACGTTTTGTTTCATTTGATACAATGTCATTCAGTTAGATATTCTCTTTACCGGCTTGTTCATAAATATTGGTCTGAAATGCCTGACAAATTCTCAATGGATGTGAATGTATAATTGCATAAATTGTGAAATATAATTGCATATTGTAGATCTTTCTTCTTCTTTTAGTTGTTTTCTTCTACTTCACGGATTAGGGAGATTCCCTAATCGTATAGTTGCCAGTTCATATTTGGCCTAAGCCCCCCAATTGACCCCTTCAAAATTTCATCAACCCCCCAGGGAGTCGCTGCCAACACCTGATCTGGATGAAACTTGGAACTTACTCAGGAATGAATTATTATATGAGGGGTTGTGAAATATAACTAAAGCTTGCATTTTGAGGAAAATAAGTGCTCAAATGTTGTGTGCTGTCATGAGCTTTCAGATTCCGGTTTAAACGAAATCTGGGCAAGTCACCTTTTTTGTCTGTATATTGAAGAATTGTCAAGAGCCACCATAACACTGGTTTTTGTTCCATTTTTTACTGTCGGAAGTCTAAGGAACAGGAAATCTCATTTGCAGTGATGCTTTCAAGTGAAACAACAGTAATATGGCCTTAAAAATAAAAATGCATTTTCAATTCAAATGTAAAATCTGTGCTTTTATACAGATCAGAGACTTGGGATATAACTCATAAAGAAGTATTCATAAATCAGTCTACAAAAAATCTAGGTGGCCACAAGTAATAACAAATGAATTGCTGAATAAAGATGATGAAACATCAATAGCAATGCAAATAAAACACAACACAGAAAATGGAACTGGATAGGACATATTGTAAGGAAAATGCGAAATTAAATTGATAGAGAAGCACTATGTTGGAACCCACTAGGGAGAAGAAGTGAAGGTTGGCCAAGAACTACATAGAGAAGGACAGTGGAAGGAGAGATCCGGACAACTGGTATGATGTGCAAACAAATCGTCCCTATAACAGAAAACAGTATGATGAAGATCCTTTGCCGAGGTCCTATGCTCCGAAGGAACTAAAGGAAGAAGAAGTGATGCTTTTAATCGGTTAACTGAGTTTTGAGTTGTGGATTACTAGACTCTAAAGCACTAAAAACTTACATTTTTGTTACCGTATAAAGCACAAAAATAAGAAGTAAATGGAGGTATTAGATTTTCAAAATTTGAGGTAGGGAAGCTCCAAGTTTCATTGCTCATCTACCTCAGTTAGCAAAACATTTATATTTAAATAGACACAACACAAAGGAAAATTAATGAATATGTTATAACTAAAGATCAGATTTTCAAGCAGTAAAACTCTAAAAGTGCAAAAAAACACAAAAAACATGCAATAAGATCAAGACTTTAAAAAAATGTTATGTAGTCTAAAATCTCTAGTTAATCCACTTATCAATTAATTTTTATAATTTGAAAGATATTTAAGGTGAACGAAGTCTTGTAATTTCAGTGTTATTAAGTTTAAGTTTACTTTAAGTAAACTAACCATATTTGACATTTTAAATATTATTACCCGACAAAATTAAATTAGCAGAAAAGACAAAAAAGTAAATTCAAAAATTGAAGCATACAAATATACCTTCAGAAATAAAGAAATAATTAAGTTACAGAAGAAAGGTTCTTAATTGTTTTCAATATAATTTACAATTATATATATTTCTAAATTATTTTCTGCGAAATTATATCTTCTATTAACTAATGTGTTTCAGACAGGAAAAACGTCTATATTTATTTTATGTAGAATGTGTGAGAAATTTGTTTATTGCTTTTTGACAAAATGTTAGTTTACATAAATATTCAAATTATTATTGTATATTAAAAACTCCAAAATATTTTTTGTATTTCCCAGAAATATTTATGAACTTTCCATAAAAAGTATTAACTTACACTAAAATGAAGCTCAAACACAAGAAAATAGAAACTAACTTGTTTGAAAAAGTCTAGCATTCTGTAGCATCTCTGCTTTTGGCTTGATGTGACTTCATAATCATAATGGCTGCTGCCATTATGAATGAATGAATTAAATAAATAAAATGCCATTTAAAAGAATTTCAAGAACTCTCTTTGAAGCATTCATCAATGAGCTATTGTTTATAAAATATTGCATCAATTGCTTGGCACCATATATTTGCATGCATTTGAGGTGATTTGCAAATCTCGAGAATGTCTGAGATGGATGACATTTAACCCTGTTGTCTTTGTCCCCATAACTAACGGCATGTAACTGAAATGTGTTGCGGTAATGAAACATATGCAGAAGGTAAGATTTGTACATCAAAAACAATTTTGAGAGATATCTATTACATCTGAGCCCTTCATTTATGTATATGCACCAACACCTGTCAACAAATAACCTCAAAATAACGTTTAAAGAGGGATAACATGAAAATTACTATATCCTTATATTGAGGTTCAAATTTTGCTTGGTTTAAGCAAAAAATATCGCAATTACATTTTATTTCATTCAAAGGGTGGAAAAGCATGGAATATTGGGAAATCAAGTTATAGAATTGCAAAGTGAAATGTTTTGCTCTTATCATAATGTTCACTTTTGGCACAAGTCTTCAAGTAGAAGTGATTTTTTTTGCAGCATTAAATATTTGGTTTCAAGGTACTTTAAATTATGATTCGGCATTTCTCATTCATTTAATTGTTTTTTCACATTTCCTGATATTTAATTTTTACTTCAAAAGCTTTCTTCATATTCTTTCTTATTGTCTGATTTAAAGAATGCCTTTTGACAGATCATCCGCTTGATGCAGTTAACCAATCAGCTTCGGTACAACATCAATTTATGGTTCTGTAGCTGCTGATTGAACAATTTCATTGTCATAAGTCATTTTATTTAAATTGGACAATAATATAACAGAACATCTGTTTACTGCTATGATTCTAGTAAAATTTCCTTTACCTATTCTTCCATATTTCATAATTTTCTGATTTATCATTTATTTTCAGATCCTTCAAAAAATGATGGTATGTTGGATTCAATTCTTTCAGAAACCTCTGAGAGTAATGATGAATTTGTATCTCAGAGCAATAATATATTGGAATCTCATATTGGTAAGAAAGTAACTGCTGATGTCTATTTAGTTATTCTTGTACAAAAATGCGATTTATTTTTCTTAAGTAACTAGTTAGCAAAAATATCCTTATTGCAACACATTGTTTTCACTCTTCCTCTATGATACTTCTGTTACTGAAAGCATTTTGACAATTGAATAAAAACTTACTAGTTTTCAAACCTTTTGTGAATTAGGTGAAATGTAGGGTAGGTTTTCGCAAAGTTTCCTCTATATCTTGTGAAAACCTTTTCACAATAAATGTGGTGTTTTAAGTTCTTGTTTCTGAATGTTTGGCATGCAAATGGATTTGGAATCTCATGAATCTCTTACAATAACTTTCTTGGTTAACAGTTGCATGAGAATGAGCTATTGTAACTTCAACGTAAGTGCGTTATTCTGCTCAGGTTTATTGAACATATTTCTAGCTTTCTTAAATACGAAAGATATGGTACAGAACAGTCCCTGAAGCAATTACATTACATTGGGGAAAAAACCTTTTCAAATTATATTGGTCTTTTTTAACCAAGAGACTTCAGTAATTAATTACTTGATATGATCGTAATCAATCTTAATATTAGCAATGATAATTTGATTGTATGTTGATTGATTAGTTTTAGGAAAGATGTATGATTATTACAATTGCATTTTTATGGTAATTGGAAATCTGCCTTCCTTGTATTCATATTATATTACTATGTTCATTTACTTTTTCAGATACTGCAATTATGGATCACGATTATATTGCTTCAACGACCCTTAGAAAATCAAATCACCTAGGTACTGTGGATTGCGGGTTTGGCATACTTGTAATTACCTGAACATAAGATGACTCCATAATTTTGAAGAGGCCTCCTGAGAATTCTTTTAATTTTTAACTAATTCTTACTATTTAGTCGAAATAAATTTACAAAATGACTTTTTGACTAGAAAATTCCCATGTTGGTGAGAATGTGTAGATGTATTGCTGAACGATTATTTACTTGTTCCATAATATTATAATCATGGTTTTTGTCACTACTCTCATCATCTTCTTATGTATTAATTTTTTATTTTTTTTATTTTATCCTTCCAAGCTGTGACGTTTTCTGTCTCTTTTAGGCCCGTCTTGAAAGTTTTGCCGACTAAATTTTGCGTTGGTCATAGTCTTTCATCAGACTCCATCTACAACATTCCCTTCCTTCGCCAAATTTTGAATCCGTCTTGCACTTGTTGATGGCCACTGTTTCTGTTCAAAACGCTGATTCATATTCGCTGGACATCAATCGGAGATTTCGCACAGCCTTGTCAAATGTGCATTGTGTAACAATCTCTTGGGCATTTATTTTCATGTTATGTTTCATTTGATACAATACCATTCGGTTATATATTCTCTTCGCTGACCCATTCAAAAACATTGGTCTGAATTTTTTAACAAATTCATGGTATGTGCCGAGAATACGAACGCGAAATAATTACGTATTGTTATGCATGATTTTGTTCCATCAACATTCGTGTTTCCCGACATGGAATAGCATGCTCTGTAAAAACTTCGCTCCTAACTGACTAGGGTTAATCTGTAATATAAGACAACCCTGCATTTTTCAACTGAGATATTTCGTATAAAACCTTGTCTTATATTCAGGTAAATACAGTAGTAGTTGCTTCAATTCTACATTAGACTTCACTTCAGAAAATTGTACTATTAGATTACAATTCATTTATTTTGCGGATTGTAACAAAGTACTAATAATTGAATATCATACAATAAAGTGTTGAGGTGTAAATATAGAGAGATTGAACATAAGCATATTGGATTAGAAAAGTTGTATCTCAAATGTGACATTTTTCATGAGCGCCTTTGAGAGATTGACAAAAACATCCTAAGAGAAGATGGATAAATAGATATTCGGTATAAACTCCAAATTTTGTGTCACCACTTCAAAATTTACAATTAGAAAAAGCGTGTGGGTGTTCTGTCTCTAGCTCTCCTCCTTCTCTCGCCTCCCCTCTCTTTCCTCCCCCTCCCCCCTCTCCACCCATCTTTTTCCCCCTCCAACCCATTTCTCCTCCCCCATCTACCCCCTCCCCCTCTCTTTTCTTTTCTCTTTTCTTTTCTATCTTCCCTTCCTTCTTCAGACTAGTGATATGTTCAAGTAATTTTATTGTAGTCAAATATTTTTATTTTAAGAAGGCGATGAAATAATATCTATTGGTGCTTCGTACACCCATTCTTTGACATATTATCTGTTATTGAATAATAATTATAATAATACTGTACTAACTCTTCACCAATTGTTTAATACAAGCAAAATCTTGTGACTTGCGGAATACAATACACATACCATCTCTTGAAACACCCTTTGCCAAAAGTAATGTGGACAATTTGAATTCTTGTAATTTTTTTTCAAAATATTGTCTTTCCATAATTTTGGTTTTTAGCATTTTATGAGTTAGAAGTGGAACATTTTAAATTGATTGAGATGTTATGACTCCCGACCAGTGTTGCACCAACAATTTGAAAAAACAGAATCTCCCATTTTACGTCATTTGTCCTCTGAGTTCAAGGCACAAAAGAGATTTTAGGCATCTGAAGTTGGTAACAAAATTATTAAATTAGGCTCTATTAGGCACAAAAAGTGATTGGTTAGGAACTTAAAATAGATTTTAAAATTATTAAATGAGGCATCTAAAACTGTTCATGAAAGGATTCAATTCAGCACTTTTTATTCAGGAAAGGAAAGTATTTTTTCATTTTTGAGTGTGACTACACACTATTCATTCTCTCTGATAATTAGCAGCCAAGCATAAAATCTAGATTTTCTTCAAATTTTCTACAGGAAGGTGGTGTCTTATTTGTTAAAATCATTTTGAAAGCTGAAAGTGACTTTGCTACTGACACAAGAAGTTATTGGAGCAAACATAGCACTTATTTCCACTTTGGTGCCTTGCACTATGGACACATGATCTGTGAAACATTTTCCTTTGCATTCCAACTTCTCTGTTGTTGTGGATAAGAATCAGTATTTGGTGAGGTTTGACTTCTGACAGTAGGCTTTTGTGTGTCTTTCTTCCCTGGATTGCATAGTCACTGTCCCATAGACATAAGGCTCAATCTGTCAACAGCACAGCTGCACTGGGAACTGGTGCAATTGTCTAACAGCACAATGGAGAAAGTCGCAAAGAGCTGTGAGATATTCCATCATAAAGACAGCCCCTGACGTGTCTCGTTATAAAAATCGAAGTATAACCCGCGCTGCCATGTGACCATGTGCAACACACTGAAAGTTCGCAGTACCAACAGTGACACAAATATTACCCGCTCTCCCATTTTCAGCTAGCAGTTTTTGAAAAAGTATGGGGTTATATTCAACTATGTACTGTATTTGTCCCGAAATCCTGAGGTCTACTTGATACCCACAATATGTAACATAGGATTTGTCAGTTAAAGAAACATCACAATTCTTGAAAACATTTTTAATTGCCTCACAGTTTGATGAATCATTACTTTAATTAAATTTCTCCATTATTTCTTTCTCTAACAGAATTTACCAATCTTCTTACACAACATTTGCTTTTGTTTTTGTCTTGCTATAAAAAAAAACCTGAAATACACTTGGTTTTGACTTCTTGATTTTAAAGAAAATAATGTTAGAACAGTGCTAAACAGTTTTAAAAGTGATGTCGTCATAAGTTAAACTTTGAATTCATACATTCTAGATTAGCAACTTTTCTTTTCAGAAGAAAAGTGTTCTTTGTAGTTTCATTTAGTAGATGAAGTTCAACTTTTTTTGGGTCACTTGAATTTAAGCTTAAAATAAATTATGTCTCATCAAAGTTGTTTATATTTTATGTCCTGTGAAACACTCTTGATAGTTATTTGGTGCAAACCCCTTTTTTTTAATACTATAATGTAGTCATGTTTACATTATGAATAATCAACAAGTAAAGAGGAAAATTACTATGACTTAGGATTGCAAACATATTTCAAAATGTCAATGAGCAAAATTGCAACACCTGTGATAGTCTGATGTAAGAACCAGTGGATTTCGAATCCAGGGCCACTTCCATAAATATACTGAGAGATAGTTGAAATTCATAACCAGAAGACAATATGTTATGTTCCTTCATTCAGGTGATGTTGTTTAGACACAAGTGTATGTTTTTTATTTCTATCTTTTCGAGAAAACCAGTGAAAAAAAATGGTCTCCTATATTACTTCAGTAGAAAAGCAGCTCACACACGCAACCAGCAGTAGTTTTGCAGCTCTCACACACAACCAATCTTTATATATAAAGTCTTTAAAGAAAGAATTTCATGGGGACGTGACAAATTGCACTTTCACTTTAAAAATATGGAGGATTTGTTTAAAAAACTCTGCTAAATATTCGTGTCAAGTGTAACCTACAACAGTCGTCTGCTATGTCATTAAATAACTCCTAAACAAAGCATTCTAGGGCCTCAAAACCTAAAATTTTGAAGCCAAAGTCCTCATTAATGTTTCTTGTACCATAATCTACAGGATGAGATATTCTTGGACCTTCTATTAAATTTTTGCCAGTTAGCACTTATTGATACTACCAATGCCACCTATATTTCAACCCATGGTCACGGTGGCCATATTTGTGATGTCATGCTTAGGAGGCTTAATTCCTTTATCTTGTACTAAATGTGTTTTCATTGGAGACTGGTCTGCGCTGACTCACAAGGTTTATTTGCATAATTATTCATTCAAGATTCACTCTTGTAGCAATGTTGATGAAGATTGTTTGATGTGCGTGAAGTGCAACCATCCTTGTAATGTTTTGGCATGGTCTCCAAGTTCTGTATTCCTAATTGTGGAGGGAACTACAATGAAAACGGACCACATGTTCCCATGTTTGTTTCACAATACCCATAGGAATAATTAGGGTGATTTAATATGTGAGAGTTCTTGCACGGGTACACGAGTTGTTCTCTTCATCTAAGACGAGTTAATTGTATGAAAACATTGTCATAGGAGATACACAAACTTACTTGTCCCACTGTGATCTGAAATACTTTCATATTTTAAAAGGAGTTTTCAGTGTACTATTGTAAACCATATCCTTGTTGTTTAAACAATTCATGTAAATGTGAAATCTTAAAATTGGATCTCTTGAAAGTAATTGATGTTTATTGTCTTGTCCAATGATAAAATTACTGTGGGGTGATAATATAATATATTATGTAGAAAGTATGTTATTCAAGAAATAATACAATAATTTTTAATTACTTTGAAATTTTTATTATTACATGATTTACGTAACATTTATTTCATTTTATTACAATATGTTCAAATCACAATATATCATGTACATTTGAGCATTATCAGAGATCCTTGCTGGATGTCTTACCTGTAGATCCTGAGGTTCAAAGTTCTGATTGTGGTGGATTTTTGACATTGGATAGATAGATTGGTGGAATTCATCTGCTGTTTGGATGAGAATTCTAGTGGCCAGCTATTCTAATTTCCATTCTCCTATCAATACCAGGCAATAGTCGGGCATTTTTTTCTCAAATCGGCTATGAACCTCAAAAGATATTTCCTTTCTCATCCTTGTCCACTTAGAAGGCTACTCAACCTTATTTCCTTTGTCACACATACTCTTGCATGCCCTTTACTACTTCACATTGGGAGTCCAGTTGGGAGATTAGAGCTTGTCCTAGCTGGGGTGGTCTCTTGCTCGTGGAGGTATCTTTGTGGGAGAACCCGCGCAAGCCCTCCCTCTTCTGGGTCGGTGCTGGTTCTTACGTTTCACCAGGGGAGGAACATCATCGCCTCCCAGGATATATATACACTACACTTGTAGAACTGATCCTTGGAAAGAAAATAATAAATCAATTGGCGTAATTGGCCCCAGCATATTAATGGGGAAAAAATTAATGAAACTTTGTGGAAGGTATCCAAAAAGGATTCATTAATGAAAAAAAATGAATGAATTTTGTAACTCAAAAGGAATCCAAAAAGAATTCCTTTCTTCAGCCTATTTTAAGAATATTATTTGTAAGTACACACTATTAAACACTTAACAAAATGTTTGTTTAGATCACCCGGAGGACAATAACAAATCTTCAAATCAACTTCTATTAGATGATGTGAGAAAAGAATTGTGCCGTCTGTGTGGTCAGAAAGGGACAGTATTAGCTCCAATATTTGTATTACCATCCCTGAATGAAGAAGTCTCCATATCTTCAAAAATTGAAATGTATCTTCCTTTTAAGGTACTTGATTTTAATTTTATTAATTTCAATGCGCATAAACATAATCAAGAATAAAATTTATGGTAGTGTTTTAAACTAAAATTGGACCACTAAGTAATGGAATGTAATACCAAAATAAAGTTGCATATTTGTATTAATCTTGTGTGTATAATACCATAGAGAGGTTCCATGGAAGATGTTTACGGGTACAGATATTTCTGTGATAAAAATTAAGGTTATACATTATTAGTGAAAGATTTATATTAATGTTTTTAAAATTATGTTGCAGGTTAAAAAACAGGATCCACTGCCTACTCATATTTGTTTAAATTGTTGTGAAACTGTTCATCGTTGGCATGAATTGTATGTTACTTCTGTAGCTGCGAATGCAGTACTTTGGAAAACTTTTGGTGGAGAATTTAATGTGAGTTACATGGTATTTTTGAGTGTCGTATGCACTTTGTTTGGAAGTTGTGTGAAAATTAGAATATATAAAGAGCTAATTAATGGTAGAATAATGAATAAATTCTGTTTTGTTTATTATTACTTTCTTGATGAAAAGTTACATGTTAGTGTGCTACCATTAGGTTAGCATTTGCAGTTGAATTCTTGTTGATTATTTAAATGAGAGAAACTATTTATTAATATTATTATTATTATTATTCACAGATGTATTTTTTAAAAAAAAATCATTTGTTCTCTCTATTAAAACGACTACTTACTTTCTTTTCTGTTTTTTCTTTTACTCTCTCTCTTTTTCTCTTTCTCCCTTTTTTCTCTTTCTTTCTCCTTTCTTTCTTTCTCTCTTTTCTTTCTATTTTTATCTCTTTTCTTTCTCTCTCTCTCTCACTCACTCACTCACTCTTTTTCTTTTTTGGGGTGTTGGGAGTTAGGCATCGTCATGTGCTGGGTGAGGCACAAGTGATACTTTTCATGCGACGTTCTGTGCCTAAAAATGGAATCTTATTAAAATTTCCTTTTTTAATCAACTTTATAAGCAACAATAAATTTTTGACACATTTTCAATACTTGACGGAGGTGCCGTACAAAGGTAGTGCAATAACATGCTAAATGGTACAAAACAATTTTCTTTGTGTCATGTAGTCATTTCATCATTTGAATATTATTGGCTTCCTTATTAAAAATAATTTTTCAGACACTTGCAATACCTCCTTACGACACTTCATTTGTCTGGGCCTTTGAGCATATGATTGTAGACTATAGAGTCATTACATAATGCATAAAAATAGTTGGTATCATTATATGTTGCATGTTTAGAGGAAAGAAGAAAATCATGTGTTAATGATTTAAAGTATTTGTTTAATTTTTCAGGAGGAAACCTCAAATGATGCAGATGATGCCATGATAAGGTATGCCAATATCTTTCCATCAATCCCTTTATTTTCATAAAAAATTCTTGATTTGATCTTCTTGTGAACTGATGTATTTGAAACAATTTTACTACTTTAATTCTACTATTTTTTTTTGATGGATCACATTTCTAAAGAGAATTGTATTAATTCTTATACAATGCTTACCAATGCATATTTTAACATTTCTCACGTTTTCCCATGTTTTCTTGGCTTCTCTTGCCCAGATTTCTTGAGAGAATGGCAGACTTGCCTCTACGCTATACTGTGGGAGATGAGAGTTTGGTATTGAGTGTGTTTCTACGTTTCAATGGCAACGGCATGTGCTTGATGCCGTGCTCAGTCTCGTACCCAAATGAAACATTAGTCCTGGTAGATAGTAAATGATGAGCAGGAGTTTCAATGAAGTGTACCTTTTCTAACAGGAAACTCATTCAATCACACAGCTTGGTGAGAGCTGAGTTCATAGCCTCCAGTAATCTGATTTGGAACTCTCGTTTGGGTCAGTCATGGAAACTGTTTTTTAAAGATGTTAGAAAGAAATTTTTTTTTCAAAAGAGTTTAAACATTTTTGTTGCAGTAAATTCTTGCAGTTTTTCTACTGAGGTTTAAGGTTTAAAAGTTATCTCCATATCATTGTCAATTTAATGCAATTGAAAACAATTGTGCCCACATGATTAGATATGTAGAAGAAAGAAACAAGACTTTCACGATATCTGAGGTCTAGAAACTTGTAGCAGAAGCTGTATCGCTTTTGATACCTGGATATTAGTTGTTGAAAATACTGAGAGAATTATCAAAGAATGATAAGGGTATAATGGAACCATGAAGATTTTATAATTCCAATACAGGATTCCAGTGACAGTTTTAATGAAGACTTTTGTGCTGAAAATATTGATTGTGAAAGTGACATAAATAGTAGTATCTTTCCAATGAATAATTGAATTGTTTGAATCCCATCTCATAAGAAAAACACAATGTTTACTTAAAACTGTAAATATGATGGATTATCTACCGTGGCATGACACTTTTTACTCTACAAATCCTTTTCTCCTGTATGTTGAACCTTATATAGAAAAGATGCAATGTGAAAATTAGAGAAGTACTCGCATATTTACTATGAATAAGATTGCGTAGCGTCTTCTTTGTTAAAGTGCTGAATGTGGCTTTAGCAAAGGTGGTAGACATCGCACACTTGTGTCTTTGGCAACAGTGGACCATGTGCTCAGTTGCTGTCAATTTCAAAGTCCATCTCCCTCAGTGTAGTTAGTAGGCTTGTAACAACATGCAGTAAAATGAACAGATAATGTCCAAAGGCGTGACTAAACTCTATTGCACATTGTGTAATGTGACTGTCCTCTTCTGTTCAGAAAGAAGGAATCATAGTTTGTCCCACTGAAAGGGTGTCTGATGGGAAATAAAATAGACATTTTCTACTTTTTTAGTACATATGTCTTTATTCAAAAAATTTGTGTTGTGTTGTCAGTACAAGAACGAAAGCAGTTGGCAAATTACTTGTGCACGTAATCTTATCACAGTTCAGATTGACAAGTGGTGAATTCTGCGTTGGTAGAAATGAATAAAGTCATATAGAAGTACTCTCTGTACATTAAGAAATCTATGTCAAAAGCAGATGAGAATATATATTCTCATCTGCTTTTTAACATTATTTGTATCATTTTTTACAAAATAATTTTTAGTGTCTATATTGAAACTATTATAAACATTACTGAAAACTATCCCTAACCTTCCATCACATTCTAAACTGACACTTGGCCCACTGTTTTTCCCGTTTTAAAAATTGTCAAAAAAAATAATTTTCTGTGCTGAATATCTACAGGAATTCTTTACAAAAACAATATAAGCCAGGGTGTTTAATGTGTTGAACTATATTTAAGTTTCTGGATTTATTTAATGTTTCTTCGGAATTCAAAAATGTTAAAAAATTATTCTTATATTAATAGCTCATATGTTTGTATCCCATAAAAATGTTTACAAGGTGTCATACTTATTAGACTATTTTGGCCACATTTAGGTGTTTTAGGGGGAGGTGGTATAGACAGTCCAGGCTTGCCTTAAGTTAAAACAACTCTTTAGTCAGGTTGTGCTCTTTGTGAAGTTGCAAAATTTTCCTTACGTCACACATTTGCCTTCTCTTTATTGAAACAAAAATTGTAGCTAGACTCTTTCTACTAGCTAATACTCTATAAAAGTACCTTAAAATTTTGTTTATTAAAAGTATCAATAGTTGGGAGGAATAAATTATGTTAAACTAGTATTAATTTTGCAAAGCATGTAATAATAATAATAATAATAATAATAATAATAATAATAATAATAATAATCCTTGCATTGTTCTGTGAAATGAAGTAGAATTACGCAAAGTTTAACTTTTTTTATATTGAATTTTTATTCTTATTCTCATTTCTATTGCTTAATTAAGGTGTAATGTTGCTTAATTACCTTAAAACATTAACGTTCGGACAAAAATTATGAAAATGAATCAACCTAACTTGGAGTATTTTTTATGGTACCATTTATACTTTTGAGCTGTTAAAAACTCTACTGTAATGAGGATATGTAGACTACTTTTATGATCTAGTACAAGATGGTATCCCATTAACATACCAAACCCCTGTGTAATTTCTTAAAACTTGCCCGTTTCCCACATGCAAGTGGTAACATCTCTTTTTAATACCTTAGACATTCCAAACAGAAATCATGTTTCATTGTTGAATTAATTTGTGTTTCTTACACAGTGTGAATGAAGAAATTCAGGAAAATGAAGCCAGTAAAAATTCTGAATTTGTAGCCGATATTGAAGAGGAGCCTTCAGTGCCTGAAGAACCTGAAGAAAATGCTGACATAATTTGTGCTGAATGTAAGAAAAACAAAACTGAAATAAAAATATTAGAACAAAAAGAATGGGAAGAGTTCAACGAAAATTTTGTCACAGTACGTGATTATTCTTATAAATGTAGATTCTGTTATGAATTGTTTAAAAATTCAGAAGATCGTAAGAATCATATGGCAATGTGTCGTCAGTTACCAACCATTTGTGAATTGTGTGGCCAGAAAGTTTTGTGTAGAAAAGATTTGAGGAGACATATCAATCTTAGACATCTGAAAGTGGTAGCAAGTTGCAGATATGTGTGTGATGTTTGTGGTAAGCTCTTTAAATCTCAATCTTACCTGAAGCTTCACAAAATGCGTCATGTAAATCCTATTTCTAAAACATCTCCCAAATACTATTGTGAGCATTGTTGTTCTGCATTTCTGAATGAGAAGTCTTACCGTCTGCACAAGGAGAGACATGCAGAAGGAAAGATAAAATCTTTATTTCAAATTAAAACATTTCAACCGGGGGAAGATTCTAAAGGTTCAGTGAGTATTTCAGTATATACATGTCCTGTATGTCAAGATGTGTTTAATGATATGTTGTCACTTGTGATTCACTTGACAACAAAGAGGGCAATGAAGTGTTCCTTGTGTCGCAAAGCAATTCCTTGTGAAAAGCGGCTTCTGCTTCATGTGTGTGGTGAGTGGACTTGTCAGTATTGCGGAAAAACCTTCAATAACAGGCAAAAATGGATTGAGCATGAGCGGATCCACACTGGAGAGCGACCTATTAAATGCAGGATATGTGATAAATCATTCCGCTCTTGGCCTGCTCGAAAAATTCATGAAAACCGCCATAATCCACGTGTGTATGAGTGTAATTATTGTGCAAAAACTTTCAAGAATAAATACAAGTTCCAGGATCATGTTGCATGTCATGAAGGGGCAGAATTTTTGTGTGGAATATGTAATAAAAATTTCTGTGGGCGGAAAAGTCTCTGGAAACACAGGAGAACAATTCATAAAGATGCTAGAGAAACCACTAGTTGATACTGGGCGATGCAAATTAACATTGTAAATAATTGTATTTTGTACTTGTGAATAAATCAGAAAGTATAATTTCTTAACAGAATTGTGTTAATTATTAAAATTGTGAATTTCAGATTCATATGTGAAATTGGTGTACACTGGGACTAATTACGTGCAAAGTTATTGGCGGAGTTATATTTTTGCTATATTATCTAGCTGTAAAATAGTAATTTTTAATCATTGATAATTATAATTGTGATTTTAAAACAAGTATATTGATACCAAAGGTGTTTTAATTATAATTTTATTTAATAAACTAAAAGTGTTTTGTTAATTCCCAGATATTGGAAATATTCAAAGGTTATGTCAATTTACCTGTGATATCTGTTAATTTTTCACTTGGCTCCATGTATTCCTGTATATTTACAGGCAAGACAATTTGCTTACATGAAATATCAAACAAACAAAAAATCTTTTTTTTTTTTAATTGTTCAACATTCTCCTGGTTTTATTGTGTATAATGAAGATTTAGATAAGAGTATAAAGAAATTTTATTGTAGCAAGTTTGTATGATATAAAAGTCAATTCTCAATTACCTTAACACTAGAAATCACAACATGATTGTGTTTCAAGGAATTATGATCTGTTGTTAGTGGTGTTCTAACTTTGGTTAAGATTTGTGCAGATGGAGAGAGGGGATGAACACATTTTTGAATCTAAAAATTGGGATGCATGGAAATGTGTGTCACGCAGAACTTTGCCAGATGAGGAGCACTTAAGCTGAAAATTGAAATATATGTATTGAACCTAACATTTATTTATGAACCTGATCTACACTTTTTAATATTAAATATAATAATATTAATATTAAAGACAGATTTCTTTCCAAGTGCAGTGAATCCATCAAATTTACATCTTCAGATGATGTGAACTCTAAAAAGTGAATAGCTGCAGAGTAATAACTTGTGAGAGTAACAGGAGGGAAAATTTTAAAATGCTATGCATTCCAATTAGGTTTTTATTATGCTATCATACATTTTCTCCATTTGTGTGTTTGCCACTTACAGTGCATATTTAGAATAGCACAAATTGTATTGCAATGTTTTGCCAAAACTGACCAGTCAAACCATTGTAGCAAGTGAATGAAAAGTGTAGCTCTTGTTCTGTCATGAAAATGGCAATATGTTACTTTCAGATGGGTTTATTCTGCTGAGTTGAGGCTATGATTACAAATTGGAATGAAATGAAGTTCTGGAGTGTGAGTTGATAGTCTTCAGAGAAAGTGATTCTTTGTTTTAAATTGTATGATATTGTCATTTTGAAAATGAAAGGTATTTATAAACATAAGTTTATGCTGCTCGAGTCCATATCATCTTGGGTCTTTTAGTCTGCAACACGGCATCATTCAGACAGTGAAGATGTGAAAGTAGTTTGTTTTGCTGTTCAAATTATTGATTTCGATATTCTTTGGGATTTTTAAAAATTAGAGTAAGAAGGTTACTCATATTTTATTGACTTGATTTTAATTAGACCAATGAAATTTCTTGTATTCTCTGAATCAACTGATGCATGAAATGCCTTTGTTTTTAATTCTAGAAAGTAAGAGATGAGATAGAGGAAGAAAGGACTGAAAGCTTTTATTTTGATTACCCTTGGTGCAGAAAGGATATGGTTAATGAATACTAACTTGTATATTTAAAAGAAATACCTGTATGTTTCTTCAGAAAATTGGGTTGGAAAATATGAAGATGGGAAGAAATGGGGAAAAAGAAAAGAGTAATACATGTTGCTCATCAATTTACCCTAGGATGCATAGACTCAGGCAAACTACATGATTGCGCCAATTCCCTGTCGAAAAATTCACATAAAATTGTTTTTATTCTTAATTTCAATAAAAGTCAACTTTTAATGATTATTTAAATAACTATTAGTAGAGACTTCAAAGTGTGTGTGCATTGATGTAATGGAATCACATTTCAGAATCTACCTATATATCTTATGAAACGTTTTCTTTTGCCAGGGACTAAAATGGAAAGTAGAAATATTACACAGAGGGCAAACTCAGAAATCAGCTGTGCAATGCTAAAAGCGAAATAAAGAACATTAAGACCTCGGAGGCCCTGCATATGCATCCTAGGGTTAACAAGGACTCAGCCAAACTGCAAGAACTATTATATGCTAGTCAGAAAGAATCCAATATGCCTTTGTTTTTCAGTTTTACAAATATAGGAAACTTGATTGTTATCACTCTTGTGTTGATTGTTCCAGTCATTCATCCTATGGTTAATGAAAATTGTTAAAGTAGTATTCTAATATGAAATTTATTTTTTGTTGTATTAAAGTTTAAAAAAATAGTTTCATACACAAGTTTTAAATTTCTTTCATGGTATGATTTATGTGTACTTGTAACTAATAATTTTTGTACATTGTCAAACTTCTAACATTCTTCTTCCTTTGAAATAGGAAATTAGATACCAATGATACCACACCAAAACCACATGCTGTCGAAAAATTGTACTAATTGGGAAGATTTCTCTTGAGAATAAAATTATTTCCCCTATTTCGTATATATGAAATGACGTTCCCTGCTTGAAAGTAGAAAAAAAATTGTAGTACGCCTCAGAAAAGTTAGTGTCCCATTGAGTATTATATGTAATATGAAAGTTATGAGTAATGTGTGCCCTTCGACCTGTAAGCAAGCAAGTTGAAAAGGTTGGAGTTCCCTCCAAAAGCTTTTCTACGGTAATCCACTAATAGTATCACACCAAGCCAAGTTCATATTGCAAACGGTAGATGGCGCTGCGAACGACGTGGCGGGTAAGTAGTACGGGGCTCCAGCGACCGCTGCGGCTGCGTGTTGACAGCAGTTGACCCCGGTACACCAGAAAAGTGTAGTGAGCGGCGTTCGCGCCAGACGCGAGAGTTTGAGTGCTTTTGTGAATTATTCGTATCTTAATTTCCTGTATCTGTGAAAACTTCAGCCCGGATATCCTACTGCGGGATTTCGTCGCCTCTTTCACGCCATCGCAGGGTAAGTATGTTTGGGTAACTTGCTTGTGGTTGTCGGTGCGTCTATGTCTCCAGCATTGTGACCGAAAACGAGTGATACGAGATACTAGATACGTACGCGAAAACATTTGTATTGTACCCGAGAGCATAAACAGTATTATATGAAATGCTATTTCATTTACTAATGTGAGAAGAAATTTTGTGGAAAAAATGTTGTTTCTGGTTCATATCTCCTATTGAAGTCACTGAAGACGAGCCGAAGAGTTTTGTGAACTAGACTGCGAGTGAAAGGAACGCTGCAGAACTTGGTGATTCAGTCCTCCGCCTCCCTATTGCACCTTCAGTTCACCTGTAGGGAAGCCGTGCGCGCGCGGGCGGCGGTCGGGCAGGCGGTTGGGAAGAAATGCCAAGGTCACCGACTATGCCTCTCCCACAGAATCTGGAAGCAGTGGTGTAGTGGACACAGCTGAGGTTATACGGCGCTTCCTTTGAGTGAAGTGGACAGAATTTTGTTGGAGTTTTGAGGAAGGGATAGTATTGTGTGCTTGCGAAAAGGTATTGGTTTCTGAAAAAAATTAGTGCTGTTGTCGTGCTTGTAAATGCGTTCGTAGCATTAGGGAAATACCCCGGTAGCACATTAAGCATTGTAATAAAGGGAAACTACTGACAAAAATAGCGCCGGTATTTACAGGATTGTTTCAATAATGCATTAGAGTGTAATGTTTTTTTGGTGGGTAGTATGCTTGAAAATGGAAATTTTAAGATCTCTACGCAAGAAGAGATTGGATCGAAATTTCCTGTCAAACTAAAGTTATTTTTTAATTAAACCTTTTTTAGTGCTGTGCTTAAAATTAACAAAACTATGTTGAACAATAATTTACAACCGAACAATTAAAATTTTCAATTTTTCGGGTATTGTTGACATGTCATTTGAAAATATTTTCTTTCGCGTTTTTAACGAATAGGAATTAATGACACGCCGTTCTTTTTTTTATCGTAGCCTAAAATATTCTTCTTTGCGTGTGTAAACGGTGTCAATGTTCTATGAAACAAACATTGAAGTTAGACTATGATCCGGAGAATACGTATATTGTAGAAAACTGCGAATTTCTAATGCTCTTAAAAACAGTCATATGGAACATTTGCCGAAAGCATTTCACCAAACATTTACACTTTGAATTTGCCGCCTTGTAATGCTCTCAAGAGCAGAGATTCTCAACCTTTTCTGGGCCACCCTGCTGAAGAAAACAATTCCAACACCCTGTAGTCCATTACAGTTAATTTTATACGAAATATCAAAATCATAATATCTGCTCCCATTTATTTGTATATTTGTTAACTAAATCTCGTATAGTAAAAAATAAAACGACAACCGTACGTGCAATAAAGCAATTTATTAAAATTTTAGAAATGAACACACAATCAATAAGAAAAAAAGTAATGGAAAAATAATCTGTTGCTTAATTGGATCTCATAGGTCTATCGCCCCCCCCCCTGTTGGAAATCTATTTTCTACGGATTCCCGCTATCTGGGCAGGTATATGGTACACATTGATTACAGGAGGTTGCTTTTCATCCTAATTTCTAGTAGATTGTGTATAAAAGAACAATGCTCTCGATGGACACATTTTTAAGGATTACTGCAGAAATGTAGTGCAAATTGTGTCCTTGACTAGCACTAAAAATTAAGTTTGCGTCATAATGATTTGTGAAGTATCGGAAATTCGAAAGAAATACTAAACATACAATAGTTGATATCCAGAAGATTGACGTTTTCAACGGAACTGACAATCTTGTTCCCATTGTGGATAAGGACCCTCCTCGCCTAATATTAAATTCTCCCTCTGCAGTTGTTAACACATATTCAGTTTATGTACGATGAACAAGTTGATATCTTCCAAACTTTTTGACAATAAATTAGATGAACAGTGACTGAACCAGTAAAGGAGGGATGGAAGAATATCCAAAGGAATTAATGGCACGAAGGGTTGTGCCATGTTGTGAAAATGATGCCTGAATAATACTTTAAACTATTTCACTAAATAAACATTTCTGAAAACTAGTTCTTTCACGATTAATATACACTTATCTTAATCTTTGCACTAATTCAAGATTCCAGTGAAGTGTAATTTCTCACTTGCGGCTTTTTCTATTTGCCCCCTATAGTACTATATAAAAATTGTATATTTTTAATGCGCAAACAGGGGCGACCAGAGAAAATAAGAGACCTGAGGCTGTAGATCAGCGGGAAGCCTTAAAAAAAAGGTTCCGCCCCTCCCCCTCTCCGATATATAAACAAAATTCGCGGTTTAATGCAACAGAGATAACTTATAGCGGATACTTTTAATTCAAAAGTTTTGTGTGTGTTATGAATGGAAAAAAATTAGGGGCCTCAAGGTGGCTGTGCGTGAGGCGCGTTGACGCACTTCCCTTTCCAGGCGCCCCTGTGTGTAAATTTAACCAATAATGATGTTGGAAATGGAGAAAATCTTGAGCATAGGTTGAACGAC